ACTCCAGCGCGCCAGAAGGCGAAAGCTGTCTAATCTTGTTCTGTTTCAGCTGAATCGTTCAATAAAGTTTTAAGAGTAAGTGCGGGCAAGCCGTGCCAGGCCAAATTATTGACAGAAACTTACTGCCCACCATGGCAACAAGTGGGGCTCTATAGCAAAAATGTAAGCAAACAGCCCACTTCTCCGGCAGCATCTGCCAAAGGGGTTTACAGCCAAATACATGACAACTGTTACTGCTCTGCTCACGTTTTAGAAGTGGCCAGCTTAAGGGTCAAAAGAAACATCCGATTTACTAAAATCTTGCAGAGACACCAATGCCAAAGTCAAAAGGACTGATTCTCCCTCAACTCCATCTGCTTCCCGCTGGTGGGACCCCACTGACTCCAGCACAGTTCAATGGGCCTTTTGCAGATGTAGGAGAGAGGTTAAAGAAAAAAAAAAAAGAAAAAAGGAAGAGTAATCAGGCCCCAAAAGCAATCTGCATAAGCTTCTCTTTCTTCATGTATGCCCTACTCTGTTTTAGCAAGCCAGTAGCCAGAGACACACAAGTGCCCAGTCTGGAATGATCACATTAATCTAAGGTTCTCCCATCCACTGAGAAACATCTGATTTACTCCTGCTATTCTGATCAGAAGCATTTTTTATTAGAAGCGTTGAGCACCAAGGAACACGTCATTTAATCAACAAGCTTTTTCAAAAAACTCAAACTGGGCAGCATGCCTAAACAAATGCACTTTTAATTGTTCAGCTAATTTGCCCCCAAAAAATAAGAATCGGGACAACAAAACCTAATGCAAAAATCCATTAAACTTTCTTTCCCTCTTGAACTTTTTTTGCTCTTTTTTTTGTTGTAGACCGAGACACAAAGTAGAAGCTTTTTTATTTTAAACCTCTTAAAGTCAGCAACAAAAATTAAAAGTTGAAATCTAGTGATACACCACTCTAAAAATCTATCTCAACACACTTCAGAGAGACCCCCGCTTAAATGAGACACCACCAGCCCATAAATTTGTTATGTATTAAGTTTCATCACAGCATTTCTGCATGCAACTTGTGGAGAGAGTTACTGTCTCACGAGCAATCTGCCAACGCACTTCGGCTGGGTAAGAGAAGAGACAGGGTACTTACAACTCAGTCCAAGAGACCCTGGCTGATGCTCCCTCCAAGCTCTTCTCTTGACCAAAAAAATCTCTGGCTACCGGGACGTGGGCATTCCTCCCTCTTTTCCTCTCTCTCCCTTTCCCCCCCACTCCCCATCTCCCTCCCTCTCTCTCAGAGGCAGTGCTTCTCCCATTAGAGGAATTAAAAGTGGTTGGTGCCATGCTAAATTTAACAAGCTCATTAGTATTCTTCCTGTGTGCTTCCTAGTGAACTCTCCCTATTCAAGCAGCTCTCTCTAGCTGAGGGGTCAGGCGGCTAATCATTAAATCAAACTAATGTCACCCTATCACAATCGGCCTAAGAGAAGGAGGGTTTATTATTTCAGTTTATGCTAAATAAACGGTTTTACAAATGGTCTCCAAGCAAGGTCAACAGCAGCTTCAATTACAAGACAAACTTAACAAGAGTTGCTATAAACCAAGTGCTCCATATTGACCTAAGCACAAGCTCGGCTCCGCATATTGCCACTAGCAGGATTGTACAGGAATGCATATTGTAAAATAAAGGAAAGGGTAATCTTTTCTTTGCCAGAATTTGTGACTGCACAGAGACTGCTCATTCACCTCTCCCCAACCAGCTTGCTGCTCAGCTCAATTCACCCCACACAAAGGCTGAAGACCAGACCTCAATGGACCGAGTGAAACATGTTCAAAACTAGGCTCTCTATTGTGACTGAATTTCTTAACATCTTTTCAAAAAGCGGAGAATGCCTTGAGGCTAAAGGAAGAAACAGGCTAATGGTGAATTGGGAATACTGAGCAAATTTCAGAGCCCTTTCCTCCTAGCTTTTGAGGTTGAAAGCAAGCTCTTTCCTTTCAAGTTTCAAA